GCTTCAGACGTGTGTATGTGACCTCATATTAGCAGTCTCCAAATGGAAGTCTAATCAGCATGTCAAACCTAATCTGTGCAGAGGAGAACGTTGAGGTCCCTGTCGCCCACAAGTGCTCACTTTCCACACGTAGATGCCTTACTCCTCTATCCTTTTCAAATCTCTGCTTGGAGATGCCATCCTTTACCCACTGTATCTAAAACAGAGCCTGCACCTCACTCTAACCCACCTGATGTTATTCTCATAGTATTTGCTTAACAGAAGTTAGGTTAGTTATGGTTTGTTCCATGATAATGTAAGATCCACCATAATGTAAGATCTCTAAGAGCAAGAACTTGTTCCCTGCTGTATCCCAGGCACCTGAAAGGGCTCCTGCACAAACTAAGTGTGAGATATATTTCTTATTCTTAGATGCCCACTGCCACTCTCCCAGTGTAGGACACCGTTATCTCTTGCCTGGCTTGCCACAAGAGCCTAAATAATCTCTTAGCCTCTAGTTTCAATCATTCTCCAAACTGAAGCCACTGTGACCTTCCTAAAATGCATAGCTGATCTTCCACTGCTTTTCAGGGGAGGTTCTGTGTTAGTCTGGACCCTGGATCTCAAGCAACAGGAAACCCTTTTAGCCCATCTGACAGATTCCTATCTTCCAGAATTCAACTTAGTCACACTTCCTTTGACTTTTGTGACCAATATTGAGGGTGGGTACCTCTTTTGAACCCCATGTATCACTGACTTACTGTGCTGCAAATGTCAGTTTTTGTGGTTTCTTCCCTCACACCAGAAGCTAAGTGCATGAATATCTGTTATTCACTATTGTATCCTCATCATTTCCATTGTACTCGACACTTAAGAATTGCTCACTAAATGTTTACTGAATTAATGAATTCTGTGTTTCAAGTTTCCATAGTCATCGACTGCTACTTCTTCCTCACTTCCCTCTCCACAATCAGAGCTGTAACTCTACCTGCCTGCTATTCCAGATACTAGCCCCTGGGCCTTGAAATTTATAGTATGCCAATTTTTTAAATGATTATGTAATTAATTCAGAAGCACATGCATGTAGTATCACTAAGCTTAACACCTAGTTAGCATGAATATGAATAGTTAGTTAAAATAGGAAACTACCAGATGGTAAGTATTATCAATAACACCCATATGGGAGCCAAGACATGAATTACCAAGTTAATTTAAGGCCGTGTTTTGTGCTTGCCCTGGCACCGGAATGATTAGTTATAGCTCTGCCTGGAAGTTCCATTCTATCCAGTAATTTCTAATGGCAGGTCTATTAATTTTTCTCACTATGTGTGGGTATGAAAAGGTAGAAAATATACTCACACTAGGAAGTTATGGGAAGGATAAATTGTGGACCTGCCTTTCTGTTTTTGTCCTGCTAATTGGAGTATCAGGATTTGAGGTTCAGCCAGAAAGGTTATGGCATCACTTAGCGGTGATGATCTGCAAAGATCGACAGAATACGCAAGATAGGAGAAATATGTCCACCAGCAGGTGCAGCCGTCTCTAGTGTCTACTTGTAGGACATGCAGCCGTATGACCAGGGACAGGGGGAGATATCTGAACTACGGGGACAGTCTGTGCTGAGATGTCCCCAGAGCTCCCCAGAGATGTGGGTGTTCTCTCCATGTCTCCAACATTGTACATCAGCCTGCAGTTTTAGCCATAAAAGGATTAGCACATGAAATCCTTTACTGCACAAAATAAAAATCTTAAAGATGGTTCCCTGTTTATGTAGCTTGCAACATTCAAGGCTCCAGACTTTTCTCCATCATAATCTGAGTATTTCTTTCTGTCCAGATTCCTTAGTCAGACTCGGAGTTGCTTATGAAGATCAGGGGTCAGTCACCAGCCATCTTATTTCCTTCTATTTCTTTGCTCTTGCTTCTTTCAAAGATCCCTGAGTCTCATTTCTCAGAGACTTGAAGCATGTGCTAAGGATTCAGATTTACACCATCCTACGTGCTCGGCTTCACCCACCCGTGTAGTTCTCCCAAGGGCTGGCAGTTGTGGTGGAGCAAAGTTCCGACTCTGCCACCAGTCAGCTATGGGGCTCCGACTCCTCCCAGGTACAGCAAGGAAAACAGCAGTGGCCATCTCAGCTATCAAATGTGTGCTCCCTGGAACTTCAGAGAGCTTTATGGCTGAGTGCCCACTGGTAAGATGTTACGTCCCTTCTTTGCTAATAGAATCAGTTCAATCTCCCCCACCACACCCTCCAGATGCCACCAGGTTATTGATAGCAAAGATTTTTCTTTTCAATCAATTAAGGGGCATTAACCACCAAGGGTTCTATTTCAGTTGCAGAGAAAATGTAATCAGCAAGGAAGCCAACCTGGTCTTCGGAGGACCAAGGGAGGGCCTTAGATCCATTAGCCCTTCAGTCTAATGTTTTATAAACTGATGAAAAGTAGGCTAATGTGTATCACTTTATCTTTAGGTATGAGGGATAGGCAAAGAATAAATAGTTAGCTGAAGAAATCTTGGATAGAGGCTTGAGTGGGAGATGTAAACAAGTATGTTTCCATGCCTATAGGCCATCTGCGTGTTTTGAGGGGAATTATGACTGAGAAATTGTTAGAATGAAAGGAAGACAGTATGGCACTGAGATGCCTCTCTTGAAATCAGATCCACATAAACTAAGTATTGGATGCATCAAGCTTGCGGGAGAGGGGAAGTGCCACACCATCCCTTGCATGATCAACTGTATTTGTTTTCCATGGCTGTTATACAAGTTGCCATGTTAAAGAAAGCAAATTTTTTGTAACTATGTATGGCAATGGATGTTAACTAGACTTATTTACGATCATGTCATGATGTATACAAATGTCAAATAATTAGGTTATACACCTGAAACTATTATGTCAATTATATCTAAATTAAAAAAAAGTGAATTTATCATTTTACCATTGTGGATGTCACAAGTATAAAATGTGTGTGCAGGGTGGTGCTCTCTATGGACGCTCTAGGGGAGAATCTCCTGCCCTGACTTCTCCATCTTGTAGAGATTGCCTATATTCCTCGGCTTGTGAACCCCTTCCTCCATCTACAAAGCCAGCAGTGTAGCATCTTCAAATCTCTCTGCCCCTCCTGCTTCCCTCGTGATTACACTGGGCCCCCCCAGGGAATGAAGGAAAGTCTCCTAATTTCAATATCCTTTAACATGTTTGCGAAATCCCTCTTGCCAAGTAAAGTTAACCATTTCACAGCTTCCAGGGATTAGAATGTGGACATCTTGTGGGTGGGGTGGGGAGGGTGGGGATTATTCAGTGTGTCACATCACATTTTTGTTGCCATGGTGACTTTCAGATCAAATTGGCAGGTAGGCGAACTGCTTCGGTGCCAGTCACTGCTGTCACTGGCACACGTTTGTCCTCCTACTGTCCTGGGTTATACAGGGCTAGGTGAGCATTGATCATATAACCACAGCCTGTCTCCTGGTGCTGTATTCAGCACCAAATCTTATTTTTAATTTAAGAAAACAACAGCCAAGGGGTATCAGTCAATGTTGAGTCATGAAATGTTAGGACTTGAAGGGATCTGAGATCATGTAATCAATCCAATCCTTTTCATCTTCTGTGTGAGGAGAATGAGGTGCAGAGACCAAAGGGACTTGCCAAGGGCAACAGCTAGTTTAGTGACACAAAATACAGCACCTGCTGCCTATTTCTCTCAGTACCTCATTGGGTTTGCAAATTAAGTTTGGGAAACACTATGGAGTTAGTCACTGGTTATCTGGTCATGTCATTTTTCTCCATGATATTGAGTAAATGTTATCCTAAAAACACATAAAAAAATAAAATTTCCATGAAATTGGGTACTGATCTGGGGTAACCACCATTTACTGGTATGGCTTATGAGTCGAGTGACAGAATAGTAGCAAATAGATTTAAATCTCAGGATGAATTAACTTTTTTCTTAGTGGGTTTGGAAATGTGGTCTAAGAAATATAGCTGAAGTGAGTGTAAAGGGAAGTGCTTAGTTTCCTTAGACTTTTTTTTTCTTAGTGGTTGTTGGGGGTCCACTGTGTGTCCTCACACTGTTCTAGGTTCTGAGAAAAAAACAATAAAATAAGGTCTTATGGAGATTTACTAGTTACCATTTAGATTTCTTAAACTCCTGAAAATGCATGGAAAAACAACTTTAAAATTTAAAATACAATAGTCTCTAAGTTGCAACAGTATGGCATTTATTGAGAATAACTGAGTATGGCATATTAAAAAATGTGAAATGCAGTTCACATTCATAACCCTTTTAAATTCCTTGTGGATGGGAGCCTATTCCCCTGCCTAAGCTGAATTGCTTAATATGCCAAATTCAGATGAGCCAAAGCATTTAGGTGAGGTTAAGGTATGGAAAGGCAGAATCTGGACAAAGTCTAGTGCACGGAAGAAATAAGTGGCAACCCCTCACCTGCATGAGCCCTTTGCAAATCAGGTTCGTAGTTCTCACAGGCCTCACAGGTTTGCTGATTCACAGCTTAGTTTTTAGTATGGTATTTGTTAAACCAGTTTCTCCCATACCGTAAATTACCCCAGAAGAGCAAGGCAGTTTGCTCTGGAAACCAAATGAACGCTTGCAGGTCACTTGGTATCCTGGGATACAATTCATTTGTAACAGTATATGGGAGTATGGGCTATTTAGGAAAACTACTAAACCAGAGATGATGTGTGTAATCTGACCCAGGGAATCACGTTTATACTTCTTTGCAGGCTTGAAATCACTAGAAGGGGAATTAAGCAGAAAGAGCAGAGGAGAGAGATGGTCTTGAAGAAGATGTTTGAGAGATGAGTTGTAAGTGGGGGCTGGAGGGAGAAGTTGGGTGCCTTGAAAGCCAAAATTGGTTTCAGACCCCTAATTGCTGAAACCTGCAAAGGTCTGAGGTTCTTGCAGAGGGCCCGTTGAGGGTAGCTGCCACCTGTGGTGACCAGGTCAGGCTTTGAGATGGACCAGTCAGTCCCACCATTTGGATGCGGGCCCCTGGCTCAGATATTGCACAAGGGGAGGCGGCAGCAGTGAGTGAAGGAAGTGTGCTGAGCTCTCACAGTTCTCTTGAAGCACTCGTCTTGCCTCTCCGTGCAGCCTGCAGTTGAATACCAGTGAATCCCACCTGAGGGAGACAAAAGAGGCAGAGGTAGGACAATCCCTTTGGGGGTGCAACCTAGCTGGCTTCACATGCATCAGGTAAATTACAGATTGCAAACAAACAAAAAAGACAAAGCACAATCCTCAGGTTTATCAAGCTATAATCAACTTGCTTTAAAACATTACAATCCAAAGATGTGAAATTATAAAACAAGATAACTTTCAAACCCAGAAGACAAAAGCCTTGTAATTGCTATTGACTATGTAGAAATTTCTGAAGTGTTAGCTATTTGGAAGCTTCCTAATACCATACCCCAGTTTAAGTCAGGTCACAAGTTACTCAAAAGGCCAAATCCACAGATGGTTCATTTAATTTTGAAAGTGCTTCTCAGAAATGGGCACATACTTGACCTCCCTTAATTTTTCCCCTTGTTATAGAGTCATGCATGTTCCCTGTAGAAAATCTGAAAAAGATGCCAAAATGCCGAGTAAGTGACAGCAATATCCTGTAATCCCCAGCTTCAGCTGTGTGAGCGAGAGCACTAAGGCGCAGTTCCCCAAAGGCAGCAAAATGTTTGATGGTTGGAAACTTGAGAAAACAATAGTTTCTCTCAACTGGGGGTCACCTGGCTCTCCCTGGCCAGGGCATTAGGTAATGCCCAGAGTCATTTTTGTCATTACAACTTGGAGGATATTGCTGGCATGCAGTATCTTGGTAAGAGGCCAGTGACGTGCTAAACATCCTTAGAATACACAAATTAGTCTTGCATAACAAAGAATTTTCCTGCTGAAGTGTCCATAGTGTCAAAAATGAGAAAGCCTGATGATAAAACTATCAAGAGCGTGAGTTTCAGTTCCATTTGTTTAACATCAGTGTGAAAAGCCAAAATTTCCAAGTTAGGACTACAACATTGCAGTCATTCCAGGCCCTCGACCCACTAAGAACTGTCACCAATGTTTTGCTTTATTAGCTTCCAGACTTTGCAGAGTCCTTTAATACTTGTTTTGAGGTCAAGTGACTGGGCCACTGTATCTGTCCATGCTCTGAAAAAGAGGAGCAATCACTGAGCGCCTACGTGTCATGGCTCCAGGAAGCCTGGGCACCCTTCCCCGCCCATTAGGAAGGGCTCTGACTGGCAAAGGTATGAGTCAGAGGGAACTTAGGTTTTAGAGGGAGGACCTAAGCTAGGCAGGTTGAATAAAGCTCAGATAACCCTCTTAACAACCAAAAGCCCATTAGACATGACCCCCAAATTCTCTGCCTATCTCCCTGCTGACTTTGATCTCCTCTGATTTTTGTTCTCCCCTTCCAATTCCATAGAGAAATTTAGAGTTTTGCTTTGTGGAGATTTTTATTCATAAGTGGTGTACTACACATATTGTTTGCAGCTGACCTTTTTTCTACTCAACAATGTTTTAGAGATTTTCCCATGTTAACAAAGAGACCTAGTTCATTCCAAGTATAGCATAGCATTCTATGGCCTGAATGTATCATAGTTTAAGTTACACTTGCCTGTAGACAGACAGACCAGTTCCATTTCTTTACTATTATATGGTGCAGTAATAACCTTTATTCATGCCTGTGTTACATGGAAATGTTTCTCTGCAGTAAATACCAAGAAATAGAATTGCTTTGTAGAAGGCTGTGCTCATTTAAAATTTTAACATAAATTTACAAATTGTCTAAAAAGAATGCTAAATCAATCTAAACTGTGATTAGAAATGTATGATAGTTCCCACTTCCTTGTACTAGTCCTTGATATTATAAAACTTTTAGAATTTTATCAATCTGATGGGTTAAAAATATTGTATTGTTGCTGTAGTTTGCATTTCTTTGATATTTACTGAAGGTTTGAGCAGCTTTTTTATGTTTTTAAGTCAGATCACTTGTATTTCTTCTACTGAAGATCGCCTGTATGTTTCCTTTAACAAGTTTTTTCGTTTTCTTGATTGTTGGTCTTTTTTTAAAATTGTGATTTGGAAATTCTTTATTCTGGATTGATATTAATTTTTTTCTATTATTTATATTTCAACTATTTTCATCCAGTTTATTCTTTATCTTTAAAATTTTTGGAGTTGTTATTCATTTTATAAATTTTAAAATATTGATAAACTCAAATGTATCTGTTATTTCCCTTTACAACTTTTGACTTTTGGATAAGGACGCCTCCTCTTTCTCATGCTTAAAATATGTTCTCTAGTATTCTCTATTGTTTTCATCATTTGGATTTTTACTTTTAGCTCTTGAATCTGTGTAGATAAGGCTATCTTCCTGGGTATGCAACCTTTGTAGTTACACAGGGCTCTGTGCTTAGAAGAGCCCAGCAAAATATATATTAAAATTTGTGTTGAGGATGTGAGTAGTGTGAATGAGGCGGTACATAGATTTATTAGGAATGTGCTCTGTGAAGTAAAAGTACTTGCATTTGAATCTTGGCTGCAACACTCATTAGCTGTGTAACATCATGCAAATTTCTTAATCTTTCTATACGTCAGATTTCTCATCTTTAAAATGGTGATAGTGACAAGGTCAGTCCATATCATTGTTTTGATGGTGTAATATAATCCAGGTAAATCCCTTGGTGTAAAATCTGGTATGTAGTAAATGTTCAATGAATGTTTGGTTTGCTATTATAAAGGAATTGTCCTGTGCTCACTTTAAATAAGTTTTTTTTTAATTTTAAGTGCTAAGACTTACCTTTATGGTGAAACTCTTTTATACAGTGTTGGCCAGGTTTTGTTCTACAGGTTCCCAAGTCTAAGAGACATCCATGGAAGGGCAATGAGAGGTTGCATGCTCTACAGATCAAACCTCCAACATCTCCAAGAACAGGAGAGAATAAATAGGGAGAAATTAGTGATAGAGACTAAGGAGGGAAAAAGAGAAAGAGAGAAAAGAGAGATCCAAAAATAGAGATTTTCAATTTTAGAAAGTAAACAATATTTAAAAATTTAATTCTAAAAATTCACATAAATTGAAATTATTTTTATTTTGAGGATGGGGGAAATTTCAAAGCATATGCTATGTTCATGAACTGGAAGTACCCTGAACTGATACTAGCTAGGAATGAGGCCTGGTGGTCTAAACAACATAGGTGGTAAAATTTATTCAGTTCCTCAGGACTTAATTAAATCAAACCTAAGTTTTTTAGCCAGAACATTTAATTTTAACCATATATCCACTATTAGGCTTTCATTTCAACATGTTAGGCAGCACATTATATAGAGTAGGTTCTATGTGAATACTTTTTCCTTGATTGATGTTTACATATTGGTTATCTTCAACACTCAAATTCAGTGGCTCAAAATGTTAGTCATTTTGGTTATGTAGTAATAGCCAGAGTCTTCAACTTAGTCACTAAGTAACTTATGCAGCACAAGTAAGATTGGAAGACATTATCCAGAAGGTCAGTTTCAAAATTTGACAGTGCATCACAGTTATTTAAGCAGTTAAAATAAATAACCCAATTCCTAGAGGCCCCGAAGCACTGAGCATCTATGGGATGTGGGGCTCAGAAATCTGTAATTTAGGTAAAAGCAGAAATAGCTGACGGCATGTGATTTGCATGCAGATGTCTGGGCTAGTGCTGAGAGCTGCTAGTCCTGCTGAATTCAGGCATCTCTTTCCTAGTAGCTCCTCTAGGAGGCCTTGGCTAGTGGTGGAGAGCTTATCACCGTTAACAACAGCTCTGACTGTTAAAAAGAAGTCTTTTCTCAGCCAAAATTTGTCTTCGTGTTTTTATAGTTGCCATAGTAGATGAAAACAATTATCATATTACTCCTATTCACTAATAACCCCAAAGAAGAATTTGTTATATACAGTTTGCAAGATGTATTTTATATCTATCTCCCTCTGCCATATTCTGGGTCAGAAGAGATCACTTTTAGTAAAACATAGTCTGGCTGATGAGGCCAATTAACCCTGTTGACTATTCTCCCCAATTTTATCTAAAGACACTTTGGAAGTTTCACATTGGTTCTCCTCTGAACATACCAGACTTTCATTCCATAATCAACGTCAATCAATGAACTTTTTAAAAAGAACTAAGCCTATGCCAGGGACTCTGCCAGGCAGTTTACATGCATCAGCCCAATCATTTCCCACAATAAACCTTTCAGGTAGGTGGTTGCCCACAGTTCACATAAAAAAAAAAAGGCCTGAAGATCTTAGATATCTTGTGCCAAGTGGCAGAGACAGGAATTTCAAAAGGGCTATAGGAGTCTAAAGCCCTTGTTCTGGGCAAGCACAGCCGTCACTGGGGCTGCCTACCTTCTGCCTATCCCAGACCTTCTGATGTCATCTCTTCTTGCTGGAGATCTTGACTCTTTCTAGATTTAGGGCCAGCTGCCTGCCCAGAATAGTAGGGCTGTTTGTTTCTCCATGTCATCCCTGAGTCCCTCACGACTTGCCCTTAGGGACCCACTGCATGGATCAGCCTTTGGTGCCAGTGGCCCCTCAAGGTGGGGTGCTCCTTTGATGCCAGGTCTTTCTCTGCCCTGGACTGTGTTCCGGGTGAGATCTGTTCTACCTTCTTTCTCTCTGTCCCAGATGGGCCCCCCTCCTTCTGATCCCATGCCCAGTATTCACAGTCTTCATCCTAAAACCTTGGCTGTGACATTCCTTACAGTTGAGGATGATGCCTTAACTTTCAGGCTTTTTTGCTGACTGACTGTATTTGTCCAGTTGCCTGAATATAAATATATTTATATTCTCAGATCTCATTTCCTTTCTTCCAGCCATTTTTTTGTCTAGAGATTTATTGTTGCTTTATTGACATAACTAACACATGGTATATTCTGATTTGACAACTGAATTTAAAGCTTCAGGTTATATGTAGAATGAATAGTTTCTTTACAGGATTAATTCTGAAAAATGCTATTCCTTTTTTTATGACTTTGATTTTTAGCCAGGAACATCCAATAGATAGTAGATAGATAATTATTTGAAGGTATATTATAAATTATATGTAGTTACTTAAATATATATTATACATCATAATGATGGTTATCTTTCTTAATAACCACTCCTGACTTCTTGGGCACTCCTTACTTCACAATTTTTCTTTATGCCAAATATTCTTCTTTTATCCTCACATCTACATTCAGAACAAAAGTCCCCAAGTCTCAATATTTAGAATTTTATATCTGGGTGCATTCTAGTTTTTTCCTACTGAAGTGTGGTCTTCAGACCAGTAGCATCAGCGTTAGTAGGAGGCGTACAGGCATAGTAGGTTGTTTTCCCTTATCCGCAGTTCTGTTTTCTATGGTTTCAGTTACCCCTGTCAACCATGTTCTGGAAGCAGATGACCCTTTGGTGAGTCCTTGGAAGGTCAACAGTAGCCTAACCCTATGTCACAGTGCCTACGTCATTACCTCACTTCTTCTCATCACGCAGCATGTTATCCCCTCTCACGTCATCACACGAAGGGTAAGTACAGTACAAAAAGAGAATTGAAAGAGACAGAGACCACATTCACATAACTTTAATTATGGTATATTGTTATAATTGTTCTATTTTACTATGAGTTATGGTTTTAATCTCTGTGACTAATGTATGTTAAATTTTATTATAGGTATGTATGTAGAGAAAAAACAAAGTATATGTAGGGTTTGGTATGATATGAGGTTTCAGGCACCTGCTGCAGTTCTTGGAATGTGTCCCCTGTGGGTGAGGAGCGACGGCTGTACATTAAATCTTATGACTCTAAGAGGCCTTGTCCTGTTTACCCCTGGGTTCAGCCCAGAGCAACCACCCTCATTGCCATCCTACCATTGCACTGAGGGGGAGAATTCTCAGGATGGCAGTTTAGCATGCCTCCTGAGCATTTCACCTTCATGAACATCTACCTTGTTTGAGGAGTCTTAGGAATTCTCTAAAAGGAATTGAAAGTTTCCTTTCATCTCCTTTCTGTGGTGATACGTAAATGAAGGAATATTGGAGCTGGTAGAGGAAAACACTTATAATAGGATAAGTGCTAGGAAGCCCCAGTCTATGCTTGTTTGGTCTAATTAATTCATTTTTTTTTTTTTTTGCCATAGTTATAAGGGCCTCCAGCCTCATTTAGTTGACTCCAGCTTAGCACAGATAACAGTATGTGGCCACCATCTACCAGCTTGGTTTTCTCATCTGTAAAATGGGAAATAACACTTAACTCATATAGTTGTCATGAAGATTCAATGGATTGTACCTGGCATATAGTAAATGCTCAAAAATGTTCATAATATAAGTGCTTGCTTCCTCAGGCCTTGTTATATGCATCTTAATTACCTTATTTAAGACCACCCTCCACTTTATTGTAATTCTGAAATTTCTTAAGTAATTTTCTCTCTTTTAAATTTACTCTTTCTTAATTTCTTACCACCTAAGAGGCAGAGGAAGATAAAAACACCACTTATGACAGTCCTTCTCATTCTTAAGATTTCTGGCCAAAAAAGATGATGGAAGTAAAGACACGTCCCACCATTAGATCTTTCCTGGGGAAATACAAAGTTACACATTTATGTTTCCTGTTATAAAAAGAAATGACTGGCAAAGTTTCATTTATTTCATTACTAAAGTATAAATAAATTTATTTTGTGAAGGAAGAAAAGTATGTTACATGTCTTCATAAAAAATTCACCATAAAACTTCTCCTAGTTACAGAACATTTTAAGTTTAGGTGTCTTATTACCAAATACCATTCTCTCCCTTTCTTTTTTCCTGAATTATAATTGCTTCATGCAAAGATATGCAGTGAGATAGATTGTTTCTAGAATAATATTCTATTAAAAATCCTTATAACTGCTAGCCAAAAGGAAAATATTCATTTATGCTTCTTTGTAAACTAATGCTTTCATTGCCAATGATTGTAATTATAAGCAAAAACATTATTATGACAGTTAAAAAGTAGTTGATACTAAAATGAAGAGAAGGAAATTGTCATGTTGACTAAAAATATAACATTTCAGTTATTCATGACCTTACCTGCCTTCTTCATGAAGGTATTTTGGGAATTGTCCTAGGTCTGGACTTCTTTAAAGAAAAAGTAAAATCTCTGATGTAGTGAAGTCCATTATAACTGAAACCAAAAAGGGAAGTCCCTGATTCACAAGGTTCCAAACAGTTAAACAGTGAAAATTGCCCAAAGAAACAGGACAGTTTTTCTCTTGAACAGTCTGATCTATGTAAAACATCTCCTTACTCATGAAGTTAACATAATAAGACTAAGTCAACAGTTAAACTGATTAATTCTAAATTTGCTAAGGATTTCCATGTTTACTATGCTATAGTTAGTTTAGATACACATAGCCATAATCTTCATTATGTAAATTACCTAGTCTTGACTTAAACAAAAATCACATGATCTGTACAGCAGAATTTAAATGGTACATCCAGAAAGCAATTTGATTTTTCAAAATAGTATTTATTTCTAAATTAATATATAGTTCCAAATTAATACATTCTTCATGAAATGAAGTACTAAGAATATTAAAATCTTCTTTGATCATGTTCTTACCAAACCCAGTGTTTTCTCCAAATGTAACCATATTATCGATATGTCAGGTGTCCTTTTTATTCTGTGCATTTTCAGAATACACAATAATGCTTGTTTACTTTTGCAAAAGAGTATCATACTCTACATATTATTTTTCCCCTTGTATTTCACTCAAAAATATGTTAAAAATCTATATCAGTATTTAAAACTACTTCATTGCTGCATAATATTTTTGGTATAGTTATACTATAGTTCAGTTAGCCATTCCCTGGCTGATGAGGACAGAGGCTCTTCTTGTTTTTTATGACAAACATGTTGCAATATGTATATATTCTTGGCACATATACAAGTTGTTTCTCTAAGACAGATCCTGAGAAGTGGAATTGCTTGTCATGGGGTATATTCATGTACCATTTAAATAGATATTATCAAATTGCCCCCAAAAGTAATGCTCAGTTTTCCCACCACCATCCAAAAAATTAGAGTATTTTTTCCCTCCTACCCTCATTAATACTGAATCAAAGATATGCAAAATAATGTTTATTAGTATCTAAAAATCTAAATTAAAATAGCACATTTGCCTATCAAGTTGGCAAAGATGTAAAAGTGTATTATTACTGACAAAGGGTATCTGAAATACGCACTTGTAGTCAGAGTGGGGGGAATGTAAATGAGAGTGTGTGTGTCTATTAGTACATACATGCTATTAGTACATGTTCTCATATACATACCTACATACATATACACACATAAATAATTTGTATTACACCATAGCTATAGATTTATAGCTCACTTAAAAAATAAAACTCAACTTCATATTTTGAGTATTTGTCATTAAATATTCCTCAAAAATTTGTTTTTAAGGGTTCTGTAATATTCAACCATGTGGCCTTACTATAATTCATTTATTTAACTCACTCATAGTGGGGTATTTCTCATTATATTTTTGTTTGTGTTTAAATGTATCTTCAGGATGAATTCATAGAAATGGAATTACTAGGACAAAGACATACACCTTTTTTTTTTGATGGAAATGGAAAGGGGCTTTTTACTGGAGGGGGAAGTTCATTTCTACCTTTTAAAAAAGTTCTAACACTTTCCTCTTATACTCTGGCCATTATTTCTACTAGGAATAAAAGGCAAAAAAGAAAGTTATAATTAAAATTTTAGGACCATTCCAGCACCCAGGTGAAGGCAAAGGCAACTGCCCAAGGACATATACCTTTTATGAGGCCTTTGACACACATTAGAAAATTGTTTCCTAGAAAAGGGACACCAATTTAGAGCCATAGTGTGGCATGTTCATTTTCAAATCCCCAGTGCTTAGCTTGCAGTGCACCTAATAATTAAAGCTCTCAATTGATGCTACTACTTCTTTCATTCCATCTTGACACTCACCTTTTGTTCACATGTCTTCATTACAAATTTGTCTTTGGCCCTGATGGACCACTATTAGAAAATGATTTTTCTTAAATCAAGGTGACAGTAGCTGATTAGTCAATCCTCAAGCATACGTTTATACACATCCACTTGACCCTTGAACAATGCCAAGTATAGGGACATGGACTCCCCCACTTCATAGTTGAAAATCTGTGCATAACTTTTGACTTCCTGAAAACTTAATTACTAATAGTTTACTGTTGATTTAATGGAAGTAAGTGATAAAAATACTATCTGCATAACTTTTATGCATTCATAACATACCTCTTTTCTTTTATCTTTCAATATTTCTAAGCTACACCATTTGTGAGTTTTTTCCAGTTGTCAAAGATCTACAAAAATTTTCCAACATATTCACTAAAAAAAAATCTGCCTATAAATGCAAACATGTGGTTCAGACCCACGTTGTTCAAGGGTCAACTGTTTAAAACTCTCAGGTATTAATTGTGAGGATATTTTCCTTGATGTATATCACCTATATCTCCTTTCCTTTAATCAAAATTTATTTTCCTTACTTTTTCTAATTGATATCTATAGGAAATAGGTTTTGGTGAAGGCAAAAAATTCAGTATGGAGTCTGGGACTCTGACGGTAACCACTGAATGTCTTAAAGTTTTGGGATGCAAATTTTTATCTGAGAGGGTCTAGGAAAGGTGACTGAACGCAAAATAATGATACTCAAGTCAACAGTAGTACGTATTGTCTGATTCAACTGAAATATGAAATTCAAGAACAGGCAACATGTGTCTGTAGTGGGTGAAGATGGAATAGTGGCTAACTCTGGGAAGGAGGATTGGCTTAAGAAGGGGCATGGGAAAACATTCTAGGGTAAAATGAAAATGTTCTAAATTTGATTTGGGTGGTGGATACATGTGTTTATGCAAATATAAAATGTTACCAAACTGCACCTTTTAGATTTGTGCATTTTGTTGAATAATACCTTCAGGGTACATATGTCTTCATTCCCCTCATTGCGGGTAATCCGTAGGAAGGTTTTGCAAGCATCTCTGCATGAATTAGGAGTATACTGAATTATGTTAAGCAGGAAAATGACACTATTCAGTAAATATTTATTCAATTTCTACTATATTCCAGACATGTTGATTTCAATTTAAAAAACTTGTTCTGGTAGAAGAGTGAAAGTAGGTTGACAAAAGTAAGACTGGAAGCAGGGAGAAAGTTAGGAAGGTGTTGCACTAGGTCAGTCAAGAGATGATAACGCCTGGAACCAGGGCAGAGGCAGGCGGGATGGAAAAGGAGAAATGGGTGGGAAATGCTACGGGGCATGTGTTTAGTATTTTCACTCGACCGTTCTGTGTGTGTGTGAGGGAACAGCTTAGTCATCATTTTTCCTACCCTAGCACTTCACTTAAAGAATGGTTTCTTTATATTTTCTCTTACCAGACTGTTAACTCCTTGAGGGAAGAAATGCCATCTTGGTATCTCCAGCTTCTAGCAGGATGCTTGGTACATAATAGGCGCTTGATAAATATTTGCCAAACAATGGGATATTTTTGGTGGAAGGAAGAGCAGGGGGGGGAAAAATCCCAGAGTAGTGAGGGGTTAAAGGGTTGTGAGAAGGATAAGTGACACTGAATGACACAATGAGTGGTGAGCATAGATGGACTCTTCTTGGGCCCGTAAAGGCTGAGATCCTGGGTGGTGTTCATGGCCTGAGGACGTGAGCAAATTACAGTTTTTTCTGAGGATTGTTTTGCTGTCCCTTAAGATAGTTCTCCCCTGGCAGAAGAAAGAATTAGTCAGTCTCTTGGATTCAGCCTTCTGCATGAAACCCTAGATTGCAAGCTATCTAGGAGTCCAGAGTCTTTGAAGTTGGATGGGCTGAAGCACCTTGGGAGTGCTCTGTCCAGGCAAATCCAGCTAGGGCTGTCTGTCTGGATGCTCACCTCTGTGGGTGCACAAAGACCCCTAGTGATCTTAAGTAATTCACTTCTTTGTCCTGGGTCTTGATTTCCTCATCTGTGTATCAAAGGGGCACTCATAGTGGGGTATTTCTCATTATATTTTTGTTTGTGTTTAAATGTATCTTCAGGATGAATTCATAGAAATGGAATTACTAGGACAAAGACATACACCTTTTTTTTTTTGATGGAAATGGAAAGGGGCTTTTTACTGGAGGGGGAAGTTCATTTCTACCTTTTAAAAAAGTTCTAACACTTTCCTCTTATACTCTGGCCATTATTTCTACTAGGAATAAAAGGCAAAAAAGAAAGTTATAATTAAAATTTTAGGACCATTCCAGCACCCAGGTGAAGGCAAAGGCAACTGCCCAAGGACATATACCTTTTATGAGGCCTTTGACACACATTAGAAAATTGTTTCCTAGAAAAGGGACACCAATTTAGAGCCATAGTGTGGCATGTTCATTTTCAAATCCCCAGTGCTTAGCTTGCAGTGCACCTAATAATTAAAGCTCTCAATTGATGCTACTACTTCTTTCATTCCATCTTGACACTCACCTTTTGTTCACATGTC